TCGCTTCCAGCTGCCTGGCTGCCGGCCGCCATCTTGGCTGACAGTTAATTTGCATAAGGATATGCTGATTAGCCAATGGGAAGGGTAGTGGTCATACGCTAATTACCATGTTTCTCTTTTATTAGTGTAGATATATATATGTGTATGTATGTATATATGTATGTATGTATATATATATATCTATCTTTCCTAACTCCCTGCTCCCAACTGACTTATATATGGAAACTTCTCGTGTTGCCATTCCCTTTCCATCTCTACATCTTACCCAAATAAGACCATTTTGCAATTCAAATCACAAATTGTGAGCAATCTCAACTTTCAAAGGAGTGTCCAGTGTCATTGTGCGGCTCCCGTATGTGAATTAAGCATGTGCCATGGCGCGTTGGTAACGGACCGGGCCTGTGTCTCTTCCAGGTTGTGAAGTTGTGCCGGGAGTGCCTGGAGAAGCAGGACTCGGTGTTTGCTGACACCAACATCTACATGCTGAGGATGCTGAGCATCGTTTCCGAGGTCCTCTCCTACCTCCAGGCGTTTGAGGAGGCCTCCTACTACGCCAGGAGGATGGTGGATGGCTATGTGTAGGTGACAATCCTGGGTGTCAGATAATCTGGAAATGTGTCTACTCCAGGCAGGACAAATAGAGGGCGCGCATGCTGCTACCTCTCCCTCCTGAACCCACAGCAAGCAGCAGTAATTGGGACTCTTTACAACGAAGCCTTTTAATCATGGTGCTCCTAGTAATAATGACCAAATACTCAGAGTTGGTACCTAAGGTGAAACCTATTTGTCATCCCCGGTCTTTCCCGAATCCTGCAGCGTATCTATTGTTTGCTGGTGGCTTCTGATTTCCTGATGGCCAAGTCCAGCAGGATTTTAAGTGTTTAGAAAGGGTCCCCCCTAACAACCAACACAGAAAATCCTGTGAGCTTTCGTTCATTAAAATTGTAAAGTATAAAATAGAATGTCCTTGCCTTCCCTCTGCCGATGTCCTCCCTGTTCACAGTGGCATGTGAATTTGTGTATCTGGCTACATGGCCACATTGGCACAAGAAGGTTCATTTTTGGGGGAAGGATGTTACTCAGAAATGAAATGTAGGGAAACTATATAACACGTTAAAAGGAAGCTCTGTTAAGAAGGTGCCACGGAGGGAAAAATGCAATTCTGCCCCAAGAAGGACATTTTTGTTAACCTTTTCCCTTTGGCCTTTCTACTGCTTTCCCGGAAGAGGGATGGGTGCACCAGAGAGCTCCCAGGTTCCCATAGTAACGTTCAGAGTACAATCCTGATTCCTTTTCCCCAAGAGGATGTGGCTCGGAGACTCAGATGAAAGTCTCAGCTCTTACAGCCTCCCTGTGTGGGGTTCTGGCCACCTCCCACCTGTCTGCGCCTCAGTCCCCTCCCAGCGGGCTGCAGAGGGTGGCACTGGTGGGAAAGCAGAAGGACTTCAATGAGAGCACTTGATAACATGTCAAATACTCTGCCATTGTAAGGGAGGCTGGGATTATGTGTTATGATTATTTATTGCCTCTACAGGAAGCTCTACCACCCCAACAATGCCCAACTGGGCATGGCCGTGATGCGGGCGGGGCTGACCAACTGGCATGCTGGTAACATTGAGGTGGGGCACGGTATGATCTGCAAAGCCTATGCCATTCTCCTGGTGACACACGGACCCACCCACCCAATTACCAAGGACTTAGAGGCAAGTAGCACCTTGACGCCGGGACCCCCTGCCTGCTCTGAGCTTTCTGAGGATGAGAGCTGAGGTCTGAACTCTGCTCTGGGAAAGTCCCTAGGTTGCCTGCGAGACCTGAAGGGAGCTCACAAAGGCTTTAGCCCACTCCCCTTGTTTACATATGAGGAAACTGAGGCCCAGGGAAGGGGAGTAAGCTGTTCATAGTCAAATAGCTGGTGGATGACAAGCTGAGACTTGAAACCTGAGATGCTCCAAGCTTGACTGAGAAAACCTAGATAATGGTGTGTGTGCATGCATGTGTGAGTGTGTGTGTGTGTGTGTGTGTGTGTGTGTGTGTGTGTGTGTAGCTATGCACGTGACGAAATGTGCATTACAGAATGAGTGGATTGCGGAGCACGGACTCTAGAAGCAGACTGCTGGGACTGAGTTCCAGCTTCCCCACTTTCTAGCCATGTGAATGCAAATATTGCATGTGTGGGCCTCAGTCTCCTCGTCGGTAAACCGGAGGAAGAGGAGAGGGTTGTAAGGAGGGTGCAATGACTTGATGTGTGAACAGCACTGAGAACAGTGCCTGGCACATGGCATGCTCTCATCCTCTGCTGGTTTCCTCTGTGCTTTGAAGGGCTGGTTTATTCAAGAGTGACCGAGTTCAAGGAGCTGTCCTCAGACAGTGCAGTGTGGGGAAGATGAAAGACTCGGTGGCATAAAGTGTGTGAGGAGACAGACTTCATGCCTAGTGATTTAAGCTTGTCAAAGGCAGAGATTTTGCCCATCGCATTCACTGCTGCATCCTTAGCCCCTCAGCAATGTCTGGCGCTTGTTAAGTATGCTTTTTAAAGAAAATATGTTTTTGTTGATTTCAGAAAGAGGAAGGAAGAGGGGGAGGGAGAGAGAGATAGAAACATCAATGATGAGAGAGAAATCATTGATCGGCTGCCTCCTGCACACCCCCTACCAGGGATCAGCCCTCAACCTGGGCATGTGCCCTGACTGGGAATCGAACCATGACCTCCTGGTTCATGGGTGGATGCTCAACCACTAAGCCACACTGGCTGGGCGATAAGTATTTCTTAAAAGAACACATGGGGAAGTGAGAACTTCATTGTGTGTGTCACATACTGTCATTTTCCTGGTCTGTTGGGAAGTAGGAAGGCATCTTACCCCTTTCATGTACGAGGCAACCGAGGGCTGAAGGGATTCAATTACTTGCATAAGGTGGGACCCAGTGCAGGGGCCAGGGTTCAAATCTAGTCCTCACTTGACGGTTCCTGAGAACAACCCCTCAGGGGTCTGACTCTCTCAGGGGTCTGACTCCCTAACAAGCTGACCCACGGCCAGGACCCTAGGCCCCGGTGGATGTATCCTCTGAGGGGGCACCGTCGAATCTTGGTGACTGGGAGTCATTTACCCCATTGCCTGCCTTTTCCAAAAGGGCCCAGGGAGGCCAGCGCCACCATGTCCTGGGGCCTGTCATCACTGTTCCTGGTGTGTCTGCGTCCCACAGGCCATGCGGATGCAGACGGAGATGGAGCTGCGCCTGTTCCACCAGAACGAGTTCATGTACCGCAAGATGCGTGAGGCTGCCCTGAACAACCAGCCCATGCAGGTCATGGCTGAGCCCAGCAGCGAGCCGGCGCCATCTCTGTTCCATAAGAAGCAATGAGGACCTGCCTGGGGTGTGTGTGTGTGTGTGTGTGTGTGTGTGTGTGTGTGTGGCGGGGGGGGCACTGTGGCTCAGGAACTGGGGAGACATTCTGGAGGGAGTGGGCTTCTGGGGAGACCCTTGATGGGTAAATTGGAGTATTGCTCAACCCTGTTGCTATGGGAATGTACTGCTCTGGGTTCCTCAGTGTCATGTTGGTTCATCTCAACTCTGTTTAATTCAATTTAATTCATCCTATAGCTCAACTCATCCTACAAGTATTTGTAGGCCCTAGAGATAAAGAAGTTCCAAGAGTAGCTGGGGAGGCAAAATGTAAGCAGACAATGAAAGCGCTGTGTAATCATAATGCAATGTAAGCCGTGTGGAGAGAGGGGAGCAGTAGTGGGCCTGTCCGGTGGGTGTGTGTACACGCAGTGTGGGCTATCGTGGAGGGGATCTCATCTGAGCTGAGGGTGGCAGGTGCTTGGAGCCTCAGGTGGCTGCTCACCCAACTGTGCAGGTGTCTCTGGGGCTGCTGGCCTCACCCGTGGTCTGGGATTGTCAGTGTTTGGGTGACGAGGATGGGAGAAGTCTGTTCAGGATGAAGCTGAGGGAGACTTGGAAACACATATACCTGGATTCCCTCAATTTCCTCTTCCTACAGTCACACACGCCATGCCTGCACCCACCCCTCCTTCTCACACCAGTGGACAGGACCCCCGCTCCTTCTCCACCTGTGCTCTGGGCTCCTTCCTCCCCTGTCTTGGGCCCGGCTTCACCTATTACTCCTTCTCCACCCTGGATCCTTGACATGTTTCTAGCTTCTTGAGTGTGGTCAGTACACATGCTGGGGGTGACCGGCAGTAATAATGTTCACAGCTGAGTAGTTTTTAAAGGGTTTGTCTCCCATAGTTATCTCCTTTTCTCTTTCCTTTCCTTTCCTTTTCTTTCTTTTTCTTTTTAAAAAATCCTCACCAGAGGATATTTTTCCATTGATTTTTAGAGAGAGTGGAAGAGGGAAAGACAGAGAGAAATATCGATGTGAGAGAAGCACACCAATTGGTTGCCTCCTGCACGAGCCCTGACTAGGGCCTGGGCCAGGGCCGGAGAGGAGCCGACAACCAGGTATGTGCCCTTGATATGAATCAAACCAGGACCCTTTGGTCCGCAGGCTGACAAGCTATCCACTGAGCCAAACTGGCCAGGGCTCATCTTCTTTCCTTCACTTTTAATTTCTTCCTGAAGCCACTGCAGGCTGGCTTCCTGAACTCCACTAGAAGAGATTTTACCAAGGTCAGTTCTAGAGGGCCCTTTTTGGTTGTTGCGATTCTTGGCATCTTTGCATCAGTTGACACTCCCAGCGCTGATTTCTGGAACACCGCTTCCCGGTGCTGATGCTCTGATGTGGTTTCTCAGTCTCCCTCGGTCCCTGTTTCTCCACGTTCCCTGATATGTGGCATTTCCCGTAGTTGGTTTTGTTCATCGTGGTCACTCTCACTTTATTTTCATCGCAGTCTGCACACACTCCCTGCAGTTCGCCAGGCCCTTGGTTTGATGGTCTTAAATCCGTATCTCCCAACCCTGCTCTTCAGCTCCAGCCCCACACACCCTCTTGAATGTTCTGCAGGCACATCAAACTCAGCACATCCAGAATAAAATTCTTTCTCTTTCTCTCCCTATCTCCCCTCCCCAACATCTGTCCCTCCTCAGCACGCCACCGAGAACACCTGACTTCTGCTTCTGTGGCATCCTAGACTTCAGTCAAACCCACTCACTCCCTGGTCCCTGAGTGACCCATGTTCTCCATGCCTCTCTGAGTTTTCTACCTAAAACAGCTAAAACCTGCCGACTCCTATTCATCTTTCAGCATCCAGCTTGGAAATCACCCCATCTGTGAAGCCTTCCCTGAATGCCTTCAATTCAGCTGGCTGCCTGGGTCTCTGGTATTACCCTTGAATCTCCCATCATAACTCTCTCCTAATTGTCTGCCTCCTCTATCAGATTGTGAGCTCCTGGAGGGCAGGAGCTGTGTCCCTTTATTCATCTTCCTTTCCCCAGAACCTAGCACAGGTCCTGAAACATAGTAGGTGCTCAGTTAATGCGTGTTGAATGAATGAATGAATGAATGAATTTACTTCGCAGAGCAGAAGAGATAGGGACTGTGTATTTTGAGTTTTTATGTTACAGCTGTCAATAAAGGCCATTAAATCCACTGTTTCAAAACAGATATGTGTGGGTTCTTTCTTTCTGACGACCTATTTAGGGCAGTACTGTCTATAGAACTTCCTGTGATGATGGAAATGTATTATATCTGTGTTGCCCAATACAGTAGCCACTAGCAGCATGAGACTATCCAGCATTTGAAATGTGTCTGGTATGAGTGAGGAATTTAATTTTTAATTTTATTTAATTTCAATTAAAATAGCCAATGTGGCTAGTGGCTACTGTATTAGTGCAGTTTTAGAGAATAATTTAGTGTAGTTTTTAAGATTATGGACACTGAAACAGATTAAGTTTATATCACAAGCTCTTAGCTCGGACTGGTAATTTCACCCATGCTTCAGTTCCCTCATTTCTACCCACCACACAGAGTTGCTGTGAGAATTAAATATTTTATTTTTTAAAAAATATTTTTTTATTGATTTCAGAGAGGAAGATAGATAGATAGATAGATACATTAATGATGAGAGAGAATCATTGATTGGCTGCCTCCTGCATGCTCCCTGCTGGGGATCAAGCCTGCAAACCAGGCATGTGCCCTGACTGGGAATTGAACCATGACCTCCTGGTTCATGGTTGAAGCTCAATTACTGAGCCACACTGGGTGGGCGAGAATTAAATGTTTTAAATGTGAAGTCCTTAGAAGAGTGCCTGGCCCATCATAAGTGCTCCATGAGCATTCCAACCTTGCCACTGTTGGGGTGTTCCTTCTCCTAATGAGAAAGTGAAGGTGAAGGGTAGAGATAAACAGTGTATGCCGGAACCAGCTCTTACCAGCCTGTGAGAGCTGATAGTACACATCTCTTCCCAACTCTGCATTCATCAACATCACATTGATACCATGACATTGGCCATGGTGGGAATATTTACACCATGGTAATTGGCTTAACTTTGGAAGAACACATTAATTGGTCGTGTTTCAGTCTGTAAAAATAGGGTTTGCTACATGGAAGTAGAAGAATGGATAGAGACCATTAAAGAAGTCTTTACTTAAATTGGAGCGAAATCTGCATTCTGAAACCTCTATCCCCGGGTCATAACAAACTAGTGTAAAACCTCTGATTCATACCCTTCAGACTAAGCCACCAATGCATTGACACACATAACTACTGAAGTCCAGATATAGCCACTTATTGGGGGAATTCTCTATGGGGTGCAGGGAATCCATATAGTTGGGGCACAGAAGAGAGAGTAGCACCTCTGAGGGCAGTCAGAGGTGCACGCGTCTGGACACCGTGTGCACACTGGTGAAAGATGGACACTCAGTGCATGAAGGTAAACAGCACTTCTTGAAGCCCTGGTTCCCTCCTGGCGCAGCATTACATACAAACCACCGGGTCTCAGGTTGTCCAGGAGCGCTCATCAAGCTCAGAAAGGCACCATGTGCAGCATGACCACAGCCAACACCTGGGCTCACTAACTGGCATGAATTTAGTCCTCCCTGTCAGCCTTGGCCTCTCCACCTCACAGGGCTTGGTCGCAGAACATTCTGGTCCAGACACAGTTTCTCAGGTGTCTTTAGGAGTTGCCTTTCATTATAACAAATCACCATGACCTTAGTGACTTAAAACAATGCAGATTTATTAGTTTATGGTTCTAGATCAGAAGTCCAAATGGGTCTGAAATCTAGGTGTCAGCAGAGCTGTGAAGGCTGTAGGGGAGGAATCTATTTATTTTTTCTTTTTTTGTTTTGTTTGTTGATTCTCACCCAAGGATATTTTTTCCATTGCTTTTCGGAGAGAGAGAGAGAGAGAAAGAGAGAGAGAAAGAGTGGAAAGGAGGGAGGAGGGGGGAAAGAGAGAAAGAGAGAGAAACATTGATGTGAGAGAGATACATTGATTGGTTGCCTCCTGCACATGCCCCCACTGGGGGCGGAGTGCAAACTGCAACCCTGGTACTTGCCCTCAACCAGGAATTGAACCTGCAACCCTTCCACGCACGGGTCGATGCTCTAACCACTAAGCAAACTGGCCAGGGCAGGAATCTGTTTCTTGCTTTTTTTCAGTTCCTAAAAGCTTCTTCTAGAATGCTCCCCTTCCTTGGCTGTGGCCCCCCAGCCAGCAATTGCATCCCTCCTTCTCTGACCCTCCTGCTTTCCTCTTTCACTTATAAGAACACTTGTGACTAGATTGGGGCCACTGGGATCACCCAGGATAAACTCCTCCTCTCAGGTCCTTACCTAATCACATCTGCAAAATCCCTGTTGCCGTGCAGGGTAACACATTCGCAGGTCCGGGCGTTCGCACATGGACCGCTTTGGAGGCCATCATTCTGCCACCAGTCGTGCAGGCACAGCTGCAAGCCTCTGAGCAGAAGACTTGGTTCTGCCACCCAGCAAGCTTGCTCTCAAGCCCTCAGACCAGTTGTGCAGGCACAGCTGCAAGCCTCTGAGCAGAAGACTTGGGACTGGAGTCCCGATGCCCAGGCCCCAGGAGAACGACTCTTCCTTCTTATCCGTCACACTGACAGCCACGTCCCATCGGCCTTTTTCTCTTCCTCATTCACCAAGTCAGGGTTTCTAAGTTCTCACTCAGCACACCACAGCCAGGCTCCGTGCTTCCCCTGCCCACCAGTCCTGGGCAGGTGTGGCCCACGTGGAATCCCCCTGTAGACCCGGCACCGTCCTGGGTACGGCAAAGAGCTGGGGCAGCGCAGGGAACTGCAGTTTGAAGCAGCAGCTGGAATCCCAGCTACATGTTTGTGACCTTAACTGGCATTTGCATTTGGCCTTGTAAGACAGTCCTTTGCATTTTACTCACCGTCCGTCTTGTTAGAGTGTGTGTTTCTTGAATGGAAGACTATTGCTTTCCTCATGGTTTTAGGTGTTCAGGCCATTCATACTCAACTTGTTTATATCTAACTCACTCCTCACTTCCCTCTAGACCAGTGGTTCTCAACCTTCCTAATGCCGCGACCCTTTAATACAGTTCCTCATGTTGTGGTGACCTCCAACCATAAAATTATTTTCGTTGCTACTTCATAACTGTAATTTTGCTACTGTTATGAATCGTCATGTAAATATCTGATATGCAGGATGTATTTTCATTGTTACAAATTGAACATAATTAAAGCATAGTGATTAATCATAAAAACAATATGTAATTATATATGTGTTTTCTGATGGTCTTAGGTGACCCCTGTGAAAGGGTCGTTCGACCCCCAAAGGGGTTGCGACCCACAGGTTGGCGACCCACAGGTTGAGAACTGCTGCTCCAGACCTTTACTCACCACCTCACCACCTACCTAGCTCCCCAAGATCTGGGCAGGCAGCCTCTGGAGCTTGCTCACACCGGCGTCATGGCACGGATCATACTGTCACCATGTGGATTATGGGTTGGCCTCCCTGCTAGACTGCAAGTTGGCAAGTCTCCCAGGGATCATTGTGTCCTCAGAGCTGAGTGCCGCCCAGCCCTGACTTGGCTTAACGAGGCTAGGTTGTAAAGCAGATAAATAAATTCCACGTCTCCACGTTTTTCTGGTAAGAAGTACTAGAAAAAGATCGGGTGGTCACTCTATGCCTCGAGTATGTATAGAAAAGTGCTCTGAAGATTAAGTATGGACTGAGAGCCCCCTCCCCACAAAACAGTAAAAAATCACTTTCTTTACTCTAATGGCAAACAGTTAAAAACAGGAAGAAGAAGAAAAGCCAGGCCAACGTGGCTCAGTGGTTGAACATTGACCTATGAACCAGGAGGTCGTTGTTCTATTCCTGGTCAGTACACATGCCAGGGTTGTGGGCTT